GATGCTCTGGCTGAGGGAGAGGTTGAAGATGGTGGTGAGAACATCAGCCAGCTCACTGGCACATGCCCTGAGAGCCCTCCCAGGGATGTTGTCCAGTCCTGCTGCTTTGTGGGGGTTGATCTTCCTCAGGACTGTGCGTACCTAGCCTGGTGAGACAGTTAGTGGAGGGGAGGTGGGGGGTTGGGTTGTGTGTGTGCCTCCTCTCTGTGCTGTGGCTGGAGGTCTCAAAGCGGGTGTAGAAGGTGTTGAGGTCATCCGGCAGGCTGTCAGTGGAGCTGATGATGCTGGTGGTGGTCCTGTAGTCTGTGATGTGCTGCAGGCCTTGCCACATCTGTCCGGAGTCAGCAGTAGAATAGAAGTCATTCAGCTTCTCTCTCTACTGCCTCTTGGCCGCTGTGATGGCTTTCCTCAGTTCGTACTTTGCAGCTTTGTACTCCATCTCATTGCCTGAACTGAATGCAAGAGAGCAAGCACGCAGCATGTGGCGTATCTGACTGTTTATCCAGGGCTTCTGGTTGGGGAACCTCCTGACTACGGTGGGCACAATGTTGTCAATACAGGTACTAATGTACCCAGTCACATATTCAGCATAGTCCGGTATGCTAACAGAAAAGTCCTCCAAGGTGGCTGCAGCTTTAGGCATATATAAATTTAAATACATTTGTTTGCAAAATGTGACTGAGCACCAACACTCTATTGCCTGTAGGTAGAAACAGCTCTGTCATCATGCTTTATTGGTCACTGGACAGTTTAAATGTGAATTTCTGAAATTTGTATGGAGAAACATTATAGATACTGTATGTTACCACCTAAATGATTACAAACAATTATAGGGTTCAATTCATCATCAAGTCAAGTGTAAAATTGTTTTAGAAGAATGATTATAAAATGGTCCTAGTCTAAAGAGCTGTTGTAACAATGCGAAAAATTATAACTGACTTTGTGTGGAAAAAAACATGACCTTACAATAGAGTCATATTAGTAAACTGTGATTGTCACACAGGACTTAAGCCTTGTCATAACATGTTTTTTGTAACTTCCTCGCAATAATTATGTTAACAGAATTGTAAATTATTTGAGAACTGAGAATTGCAATTTGTGGTAAATGTGTGGATAAAATTTGCAGATATGTAGGAATCACCTGATCTTACCATCCAAGAGCACTATGACATATGACTAAAAGAAAAAGTTAAAGTAAAAGTGCCCTTCCTCTTATACAAGAAAACCCACAGTTTTCTCTGGAATAAGCTAAACTGGCACACATTTACAGTAAAGGTGCATTTACACGTACAATTTTACACATTGACTAATAAATCAAGTGAAAATGTGACAGGACATGGTGTCTCTCAGCTATGGCCTACTACCCCCTTCCATGACACTCTGCTGCCTACTGCCCTTCTGTGTTTGTGTGTTGTTTTTTACAGCCAATATGTTATTCTACCTTCTTTGTGGTGTCAAAATATGGTTTGTAAATCAGCCCCACCTGCCACCTGGCAATGAAGAAGCACTATTTCAGCAGAAATTCAAGTGTGTTGTCTGTCTCATTATTCCGATAAATCCATATGGCAGCCTGAAATCTTTACTTTGACATCATATGCAGCTTTCTTTATTGATTTTTAAATGCTCAGAAATATGTTCCTGTCACTTTTTTGCATTTGATTACCAATTTTAATGTGGTCTAAATCATCAGTGTCGATTTTCTGACAGTTTGTGCTATATATGTAAAAAAAAAAGAATAGTCAAAAAGCTGCACTGAACAGCTGAATCTGAGTCCTGAATCCTGGGTACTGCCCTAATCAGGCACACCTTTGGCTTTTCAGGATCTGTCAGGTGAAATCTGAGGAACCCTTTAGCCCATTCTTTATTTCTTTCAAAACACACTGGATAAATGCAGACACGAACCACATTGTCCTTCATGTGCAGCACAAATTAAAAAACCGGAGTGACTTCTGCACAAATATAATACAAACACAGGAGCAGGATTTACTGGTGTCCCAAGGTACACACTCGTTTCCACATTAACTCTGAGCACAACCTGATAGTAAACAGCAAATGACAGCAAACCTACATGCAACAACTAGAACATATCCCTCCATTGCAGCTCCACATGTTACTGTCCAGACAAATAAGAGTTAAATTTGTCTTAAATAGACAAACCTTGAAAGATACCAACTTGAATTTGTTTAGTGGGACAGGTGAAGCTGTATTTGAGCCTCAGACAAACTTTGGATTGAGTTTTGCACAGAACAAAACGATTCCTTTAACAGTGGTTTGCCTTTTTGACATAAAGAGTGTTAAACTCAGCCAGAGGACTCAGATTTGATTCAGATATGGCGATCTTCTTTGGCGATGTCAGCATCTAAAGCTAACATGTTTGTTTTGGTAACATTAGTGACCTAACACGGTCATGATCTTACCTTTGTATTGGTGCAATATGATTTTAATTTGGAACTAATTCAAGCTTTGTGTAATGTTAGTGATTTGTGTCATATCGGCACTAACCTGAGCTTTCTGTTTTACTGGTTAGTCAGCTAGCTTTGGACTGGAGCCTTTTGTACAGTTTGTTGCAACCAGGCATAGTGGCTTATGGTGGCAGTTTGTTTACCTTCTAGTGATTCAAAAGAAATCCCAGTAGCTTTAAAATAACTGGGGACAGCACATTAGATTTTACACTATGAATATCTTTTATTTATTGTACCCTTGTCAGGATTCCCCTCCAGAAACGCTGGACCCAAATGCGCCACTCAACAGGTTTAAGAGATTTATTAATGTTGCAGGTCAGCATATGTTAGGCAGACAGGGACACTTACTGCAGCAAGTGTGACGGTCTGGCATCTGAGATTGAATGAGGAGATACCTTCAACTCACAAAGCATATAGGGTAAAGTTGGGCAATGCTCAAGTATCCATCAGCTGGAAAGATTAAGTGATTGGCAACAGATTGATAGAGCACTGTGTTCCAGCATGTGCTGATGTGCAGAGCTGATGACATGCAATCCTGCTTGTATTTATCAGGGTCAGAGAAATTACTCATCAGTTTCAAAGTAAATCTTTGCATCAGAATGTTTTTGAATGACAAATGGTGTAAACTGCTTTTTTGGATAGTTTACCTCACCAGCGACTGTGCAATAACTGTGAGTCATGACTGTGTGTATTGTTGTAAAGCTTTCAGAGGGAATCCTCATGTGATTTCACAAGTCCCCCCCCCAATAATAGAATCAGCATATGCTGTAATTTAGTGAGTCAGAGGTCACAGCGTCTGTGGATGTTCCTGATTCCCAGTGGATGAAAATGAATGTGTTTGTGACCCAGTGATTTTCCTCTAGTGTGATCATCAGGTCAACATATCCTGCCAGCAAAATTGTTAAGTACATTCATGCTTGCCTGTAGCACCAACCTCAAGCCTAACACACAGTATAGAGACCGGTTTTCATCCAACTCAATTTGACAGTTCTAGGTGAAAAGTTATCCAATCAGAAGCGTTGTCCCGCCCCTCATTTCTCAGTTTGAAGAGTCAGTAGTTGCATCAGCCATCTACTATGGAGTGGTCGGACGGCTCTGTTCTGGGAAGTCCCACCCCGTGCACGAGACTCTGACAGCACCAGGCAGTTTCGTCATCCGCTGTAACATCAGCACTGCTCCCAGTAGACCCCCCCCAAGTGCAAAGATATATAAATATTATTCTCTATTTCTCTATGTTAATACGCCAGCTGTTACCTCTACATTTTTCAATGTGCCTTGTTTACCTCCCTTTGCTGCTGTCCGTCAGCTCTCATTATCTATACCACTTATCCCAACCGGAGGGTGGGGGGAAGGCTGGAGCTAAGAAAATGTATCTATATTGATGTTTAATCTGTATTCTCATACATTGTATCATGACATGATATATTTTGATATGATATATATATGGGGTCACTAGGGACTGGTGTGTAGCATTATTATTAGAATATAATGATGATATGTGGGAGGTGAAGTTAATTTTGGACACCACTGTATATAAACTGTGCTCCTCCTCCATTTTCTCTTTTCATTTGTATAAAGAGACATGATGTAATTCCAGACTGAGGTTTGTTGGCGTAGGCGGTTGGCTACAGCCCCATTATTTTCCTGCCAATATAAGACTCTCCATGTTTGACTAGTAAAGAGCTGTTTTCAGGACCAACTAAGTTACAGACACCTGGAGAGCAATCACACCCGTGGCCATGGGACAGACAGTGATGGAGCACACTCTGCCAGTTGAAGATGCCTGCTGTATGGGTCCGGATGAATCTGTTCTCATTCTCATCAAACACTGCCAGGACATGAAGCAACAGGAGACGCGTCTCAGACTCATCACTCTGTTACTACTGTTCATATGTACAGCACTGTTCATTTTTACCACTGGTGCTGATTTAAGGCAACACTTTGGATCCAAGAGAGAAATGGTTAGTTCTGAAACATTTTCCTTGTCTTCTTAAAGAGATTTGGCTGTGTTGGAACCAGTGATGATGTGAGCATGTAAAGCTCTTGACAGCTTTTTTATTCAGTATTATTGGGATATACAAATATGCCTGACTTAACAAAGTGAGAATAGTTCAGTCTTAAAAAGCCATCAGTTCACTAAACCCCTGAAGCTTTGGGTGAACTGGAATTTAAAGCTCCTTTAATTTGACAGTCAACTCTTTGAGCTGATTTAAGGCTGGCACAAAACACAGCATAGTGCATCTCTAATGATACATAGTGACCAGAGATAGGATGAGACAGATAAAGCTGTATGGATTTCAGCTCTTGTGTCTTATGATGTAAAAGATTTCCGTTTACATACAATAGATGGTTGTGTCTGCATGTTTATCAGTGCTGCTTTAACTCATCAGATCCCAGGCATGTTCTGTACTGAATATATTTTATGGGCACTATGATGATGGATGATAAAATATATTTATTACTAATTGTAAAGGAGCTATTTTCTCCCTTACAACCTGTTGCTTTCACATTTTTGTTCATTTTACTTGGCCCATGCTGTTGGTGTCACTGTAAATACAAAATCACAGTTTAGGTTCTCAACAAGTTGCCATGTCATCCTCATAAAGGACATGACTTATGGTAGTTGACAGCACTGTATCAGACTAAAATATTACTCATGAGGAAACCTGAATAAAAATGTATTTTTTTATTTCCAGAGTACAGTTGAGCAAAGTCCAGTACCCTCCAAGCAACAGAGCCTATGCCCTGCAGGTACAGTATGACATGTCATTAATGTCATTTTACAAAGGTTTGAGGTGGATTCACTTACAAATTGAAGGATTTACCTTTCTGCTCTCCACTCTCCTTGGCAGTATAAAGAATATTTCAATTGGTGTCCTGTTATGCAAGTAAAAAACACTTGTTTTGTTTCCTCTGAAATATGAGCGAGCGCAACTGATTTGAACCTCTCTGTCTCTAACAGTCAACCCTAAAACAAGCTGCCAAAATCTCCACATTCATCTCAGTAAGTATTTTTCTTGAGATTTCAGTGCCATTTGACTTTTGTTCCGACTGTTAAAGAATGAAAGATGGTATGTTAGTTTATACTTCAATATAACAATACTGTGTTTTTTTCTGTTCTATGAGTAAGGAGCTGCAGAAATACTCTAAAAATAAGTTAAATAAGATCTTCCATTTTCTTTAATAAGTCTAAAAACAAAATGAACAAATCTATAAAATCTCACTTTGAAACACATCATCACAGCCCAAATGTTGCAAAGTTGACTGTCATGAATCTACAGTTAACAACAAAGTTTTCTTGACAGTGAGTTTCACAACAACAGAGGGTGACTACAGATGTATATGCATCTGTATATCTATAATGAAATTGTGGGTGTGCACATAAAGTTCAGATGCTGGCATGCGGCCAACAGGCCCACATAATTATTTTGTACATTTCATCAGAGCCTCTTTGCTTTAATCAGGAGTTCTGTCATTCAGCAATGAGTCTCACTGAGTTTTAAGATGCGACTCTTTGCTATTTCAGGATGTTCAGAATGTATCGTTTAATGTATAACCAGTCAAAATAGACAATAACACGAGGGACCTATATATTTAAATGAAACATTAATTGCAGTATGTCCCCTGTCCTCCAGGGTCTGTGGCTACAGGCAACACATCTGATGGACAGCTCATCAAATGGGATGTGATGTTTGGTGACAACTACTACTACAACGAAGAAAAACGTGCCATACTGATTCATGAGAACGGTCTCTATTTTGTTTATATAAGGATTACCTTAAGTTGCCGCAGTGAGGATGGGCCTGAAGGCTTCAGTGTAAAGCTGCAACGTTGGAACAAAGGCTACGACATGATAGTACCCCTGACAGATGCCAAGGATGGTGTAGATTGCACTTCACAAAGGTCTAGGAATGTATTTGTGGGGCAGCTTTTTGATTTGTCGGAAGGAGATCATTTGAGTGTGTGGATTGATCAGGGCTACAAACTGATCGCAACAGCTTCAGCTGGTGCTTTTTGTATATAGACAATACATCTTGATGAGAATATTTTTATTATGTGCACATTATTTCAGTCCTAGTAATCTATGGGTTTATTTAAAAAAAAACATTTTAAGTTATTTCTCATCATATATTTGCAAGCATTGTATATTTTAATGTAGTACCTGTTTATTCAGGCAGGCAGAGCGGAAATGGCGGAAGGATGGTCTGCAAGTCTGACCTCTTAGCTAGATATCTTTTCAAACAAGCTTTTAATGTCTAGCGTGTTCACTGATTTTCGTCACCTTTAATAATTTATTTCTTAACTAGTTTTAATATGTTTAGTGTGTGTATTGTTCCTCTGGGCCACCACGGGTAAGCCCCCGGTACGAGAGCCGGCTGGGTGGGAGTTGGCCTATATCAGACGCTGGATATCTATTTGGCTTCTGTCTGTTTATGAGTGTTCTTAACTGATATTGTATTACTATGTTTTTATTGTTGTAGCACTTTGTGCTCTTGAGCTGGAAAGTGCGGTACAAATAAAGATTATTATTATTATTATTATTCTTAAAAGAACTGTGTATTCAGGTTTGGAGGCAACAGGGCTCTATTTTCCCACCGGTGCAATTTCTGCATCATTACAAACTCAGTCATCGTGCAGCTTTCCTCAGCATAACGTTTTGTTTTGTGCGTGTGTGTGCACTGGTGTGTTACACTGAGGTGGGAGGAGAGGCGTAGCTGAGGCCATGTGTATGCTGATAAGGCAACACAGAAGGTTGGTACTTACACAGAGAGGTAACAAATTACACTGTCTTGGTAAGATGTTGTTGCATCTTCTGTGACATGAGCAACATTCTTCCTCATTTGGTGTTTTGATGATGCTGGTAGGCTGTATCTCCAAAACTTCCCTTACAGTCTGTTTTCAATCTGCATTGAATTCTTGAGACTGTAAAGGCCAAAACATGAGTCACATCACTGACATCATGAGTAAATGGGTGGGGTGGCAAAATAGGTCTGATCATTTATTCAGATTGCTCCTTTCATTTGACACCAGTTTTAATATAAAGTGTTTTTTATACAGTACATGCACTTGAGTATTCTTTTGGTGAATAGTAGGCCTATTTTACTGAGATATCATTGGTTGTACTATATTGAAGTAAAGAAGGTTTGAATTAGCTTGTTTGAGCCATGGGTACATTCAGCTGTTACAGATTTTGATGGGCTTTTTTGAGTATAAGGCCAGAAATATGCTCAATTGTTGAGACAAGATTAAGGTTGTTATTTGCACTGAGTTTTTTTTATTAATAATTTATAATTACATAAAAATTTGCCCTCAGGGGAACTGTTTCCTGAGTCACTAAATCTAAATAACAAAAACCAAATTCCCCCCTAGCCCCAGTGGTATCTCAGCTTGCACTTTGTTTTTGTTGCTGAGATTACTACTATCTCTTACAACAGAAATGAATGGAATTTGATTTGCCTGCGTTGAAATATAGCAGCACTGCGTTGGCTTAAAATGTGCTTTGCTTGTGGCTTTGACGTACAGCATCTATGTTCCTTAGGTTAGCATGGTGATAGCTTTTTACTTAAATCGTATTTGGGTAATTATGACATAACAAAAACCTGGTCTAATTTATGAGAAATATGAAATATGATGTGCACTTGTTAGACACAACTAATTTTCAGAATCCTACTGAACATGACATGTAGTGGGACTTTAAGCCAACAGTTAATGGCACAGCTCATTCAAAAGACCACTCCAATGTAAGGAAACAGAAATATACTTAAGAAAATATCAGTTTTACAAAGTATCACAAATATATTTTAAAGGTTTCTATATATTGTATTTATTCACATGTTCTTTTATAAATTATGAGCCATTAACTAACATTGAGAATTAAATGTGCAAAAATGATTTGGTTACTATATTTTGTTGCTTATTCTAAGACTACCGTTACTATAGCATCTAAGTGGCTTACAGTGTTTGTTTGTTTGTTTGTTTTACCTCTGCCAATAAGTTTAAGTTTTTGGTTCCGTGTGTGTGTGTTTGTTTGTTGGTTAGCAGGATTATGGACAAATGGCTGGATAGATTGGTACAAACACTGGTGAGGACCAACCCTAGACGTAATTAGATTTGGTCTGAAAAGGTCAAGGATCAAGATCACAAAAAATAATAACAAAAAAAATCCCATCTTTAACACAGGGCAAAAATAAAAAAATATCTCTCTGTCAAACGTTACTGATTTTTTTTTTTTAAATTTACCACACATATGGTGGCAATGTCTATCATCAGACCAGATTTCATCCACATCTGATTTGGATTCAGATTTCTGACAGCCATTTAAAGTTAACATTGAAAACCCGGTTTAACACATATTTTCTGCTATAACTTGGCCTGTGATGAAGATGGAACCCTGAAATGTTCATACCCTAAAAGATTATCCAGGTCTGATTCAGATCATGACTTTTAGGGCATATTTTGTGTTGTTCTGCATCTCATTTTTCACAAGGGACCCATTTGTGTGAACAAATGTTGTGCCTTGGTGGAGGTACATACGCTCTCTGAGTGCTCATGTTTGTTTTGTTCTTTTGTTTGTTTGTTTGTTTTACATATGGCATCCCATCTACTTGAGTTGAACCTTTTGTCATGTGCTTGTCTGATTGACAACTACTGCTGTTGCTGTGGGCCTGTAAAGCCTACTGAGACATTTAATGTAATAATCTATACAAATAAACTTGACTTGAGAATTTAGGCCTGCGCTCGTTTTTTGGAGAACACTACAAAGCATGTGTACAGCTACAGCTTACTAAACATTTGTCAGTGACCTCCAGGATGTCCTTATTGTCCTGTATAATTGTATGGCTTTAGCTACATATTTTACACAGCCGCTGTCAATGGCTAGTGGCAAAAGGACCGGTGGAGCAACACTGACATGTTGTTTTTATTTGGCACACAACAGTGACATACCAAAGGTCAATGCGGCCGTGGATCAGGAGATACATCTGCTACTATGTGCTACTTGAACACCAGCATCAAAGTGGGTTGCAATACAAGAGTGCACACCACTGGTATGCTGGTGAAAATTGGTATCTGCTAGTAGAATGGGAGTGACCTAAATGTAACACATTTTGTAAAACAAAAAAACAAAAACAAAAAAAAGACCAGTTTCTTCAAATAAAATAATGACTGGCAACTGATGATGGCAAAGGATAAAAGGTATTTAAATTTCATTTGCAACTAAACTTCTACATATGCAGTCAGATTGTGAGATGTTCTCATAAGCAAGGCCCAGAATGAGGGCGTCCTGGGTCCTTTTTCCTTTTGTTCCTGAATCCTGTCATTGCTTGGCATCTGTGGATTCTGTGTGCATAAAAGTGCACCCTAGGCTTATGAAATCTTAAACTTGATACGACTTGCCAGTGGAAGTAAAAGGTGAAGGAGAGAAGGAGATTAACCTTGGTATTTGTTTCAAACTAAGCAATGCTCCAAGCTGGTACATGTGGATTTGATATTGTATATTGTTCCCCAAAGAGGTACAAACACTGATGAAACTTTACAACTCCAAATGAAAAACATGGGGGAGTTGACAAGAAGATGAATTGGATCACGAGTGTCTGACTAATGAGGTGATGTCATGGGTATTTCCAGCTGAAATAAGAAAAGAAAAAGGTCTCATCTGATCTGATAATCATCTGATAAACCAGTTACAAACAGCTCTATTTAGCCATTCATTCTAACATCATAACTTTTATGGAAACCTACAATGTTTATGGTTTGGTGATGAGTATTGGTGACACAGTTTCTGTCAGTTTATCGAACATTTTCAAACACAACACCAGATAGTATGAATTGGATTATAGTGTCAGTTCTGAGTCTGCTTTAAAATCCTACAGTCAAGGGCTTAGTTTCAGGTGAGAAAAGCTTTGCTAGCATTCAACTATACTGCACATACTTTCTCTTCTTGCATTTTACCTATGTCAAACTTGAAGGACTTGCATTTTGTTTCACACACTTGCAGTAGCTAACATTAAAAGACTTCAGTTCAACAAAATATTGTGACAGGTTGTGTTTTAGGGTGATTCTGAGCTATTCATGCTACTTATGACTTGGGTAATATTAAGAAATGTTATTTTTATCTTTAGGCCCAGCAATGGTAGCTGTGTGATCCAGTAAGCGCAGCTCACAGTGTTCGAGAATGGGAAGTTGATAAGGGATCATGTCATTTTCTCTGCATGGTTTCTGCATTCATATGCCTTCCTCTTTTTCTTTTCAAGAACTATGCCGGTTGTTTCATGTTTTGTCCAAATGTGGGGCACTGTATACCACAAACAAAAACCCACAACATTTTTTCAGCAGTCTATGGATGAGACAAAACACAGCAGAACAACTCAGCTGGGGTCCTCTTTCCCCAGATGGGAGCAAGTTACAAAATACTCCTCACAGGTTTCCAAACTGTCCTTAACTAGTGGCTGGCAGGTAAAGCAGCAACCTGGACAGCAGGAGTACCAGAGGTTGTGGTAGGCTCTCTGGTTTTATCATTCTGAAATAATTACGGACTATTTGGAGTTATGATGGGTGCAAAGCTAATGTAGAGGTACCCAAGATTAAACATTAAATGGCTGGAAATGAACACCCCATGGGGTTTAATGTTGCAGTTCATAAAGTTGGAGCTCATTTTAACTATATGTTTATAATTTGAAGTACTCTACATACTGCTCAGTAGCTTGTGAATTTCCCACCAGGGATCAATAAATTAACAATTAATTAAATTGTATTTTGTTTTATTACTTTACTTCTGAAAAGTAACTAGTAACTAAAGTATGAAGCACAAATACCTCAAAATGTAAATGTACTTAGTTACTTTCTACCTCTGTTACAGCAAACAAACCCACACAATTTCCTCAGCATGTGCCATTGGCTGCGTGTGTTTGATCAGCAGTCTGTGCTTGTTAAGGTGGCTCAGGTGCAGCTGGTGGTAATCTGGGGGTAAGAAACAGGTGTGAAGGAAAACTGAGCAGGGTAAGGGAGTGAAACCAGAGAGAGGGGAGTGAGAAAGTAGGTGCAGCTGGGCAAACCTGACAGTGCTTGTGTCAACATACTCTCTGAAGTGAAGTTTTTCTTTGATGCAGTGAGTCAGTTACAGGGTGTTACAGAACATCTGAAAATCCCATTGATTGCACACAGGATGGTGACGAACACAGCTGCTTGCCAGCATGAAAGCAACAGTGGAGCTATTCTGATGGGCAGTAACAGCAGAGAGGAATCATGCAAAGAGCAGGTGGCCTGAAAAAGTACACTCGAGTCCCATTTGCTAATATTATGGGGGATGTATGCAGTTATTGCCAAACTGGGGAGTTCCTTTCATTCAGAGATTTTATCATTGAACTGCATTGTCTGAGCTTTGTTATATGGATATACAGTGTATTTAGTATAGTCTTTGCACACATACTGTATATGCTGTGCATAATACCTCATATATATTTAGTGTTTTCTTCTGTAACAGTTGATTAGCTTGTTTGTCTTTGTGAATAATATATATTTGCTTCCCATTCGACCAGCTCCTTATTCATGAAAGGACCCTAGAGGGGTCATGGTACAGTACCTTGCCAATCTAATTTATATATGTTTGTTTTTGGAGTTTATGGATAATGCTTGACAGAAAGCTCCTTTGCATTCTTTTCTTGTATGTCCAGCTCATTGTCAATATACTGAGTGACATAGGCGGACCACTGCTCAAAGGTAAATGTGTTGAGTCCCATCACCTGTCTCAGAAGATGCTGATATGGATACTGGGAGGGAAGCCTCCACAGCACTGCGAAATAGCACCCCCATGGTGTCATTGATGGCTGGGTCATCACCAGTGCGGTTCTGCCAGAGATCACACACTCTGAACAAATACTGACTACCTCTCTCACCCTTTTGAGGTGGAATTCTACACAGCTCAACAGAGCGCACCTGTACTGGGAATTTCTGGTGTATCACCGGGCAAAGCCAATGAATTTCAGTATAGAGCGAAGCATTATCATCATCCTCAGTAGTATTTGCCATCAATTCTACCTCCTGTAACATGCTCATGTCTTGAAGGCTAAAAGGACTGTAGGTTTGTGTTATCTCTCCATAAGGTGAGGTGGACTGAAGCAATGGCAGCTGGTCTGAGGGAATGTCCAAACAATCATGGATGTTCCCTCGCCCTCTCTGCGTATGTTGTGATGCGAAATCATGCACTGTGCCATCCCAGCTGGAATCACTACCATGAGACATTGCCGGCACTGAAACATCACAAAGGTGCCTTTCTTCCTCCTCTGTGACAGAGGCAGAGGCACATGCACCGACAACTGGAGTTGTGGACTGGTCTAAACAGCCAGATTTGAACTAATTTAAATAAGTCTGTGCTCTAAGTCTGTCAGTTTTACTTCCTGGATATGATGCTGTATGTAGAATTCCTCCCTGTACAACCACCAGGGGCGCCACGCCCTGTGTTGCACTTTGTGGCATCTGTCTAGATAAGCCACTCTTTAATATAGTGTTACTTCCACTCTTCACGTGAAGATTGTGAGGAGGACAGCTGTGTGTGTCTGAACTGCACCTAGTAATCAGAGCTAGAATGTGCAGCCTGTACTGGAACTACTGTGCCACTCGGAGAAACAACTTCAACTGGCATTTATGACTAACATGAACCAGCTGAAGGAGACAGAGAACACTTAAAATTTCCCAAAAAACATGTACAATCAGCCAGAAAACCCTCAGCTTTGTTTCTTATCAAAAAAGCACAGTTACTGAATTTGCAGTCTAGCTTTTGTAGCAGAAAGAGAGACTTGCTTCCAAAATAGTCCTATAGCACCCCCTTGTGGGGTGCTGTCCCCAAACCTGCCTCTTTTTTTTTTTTTTTTTTTTTTTGCTTTGCAGTTCTCTTTCTCTTGATTTCATCCAGGTCAGCTGTCCCTGGCTCCATTCTCTTGGGTGCAGGGGGTGAGAAAGGGGACCTTGTGGATACCATCAACACCAGCTCCCGTGTCTGCTTGATCTCCTAATTCTGCTTCATTTAAACTTCATCAACTGTTCCACTGGACCGTAAGCGGAGAAGAATGAAAACATCATGATCCCGTCACGAAGCTCCTACACCAGAACTAGCTTCTGATGCATGTGACCGCTGGGGGTTCTCCCAATCAACAGCTAAATTCTATAATACAGTTTCCCCATAGGCTATGCCCAGCCCCGGAACCAAAGACAGCTCTGCCCGAGGCACACTGTCTCACACCAAATTCTCCCAGTAGCACTCGTTGCTATGAAATACACGTGTGACAGCGTTCAACAGCCTTCGTGCAGAAAACCACCCACACAAGGATAAAGAAAATAAAAAATATTCCCCTGTGCCCTCATTTTGTCATTTAACAGTTACCAGTGACGGTCTTATAAATATTTAGACATTCAGAAATGTGCTGTACTTGGAGAAGGGTTCCACCTCTGACTTCCGCCTTCCCATCTGAGCAAAAAATCCTAATACTTTAGGAGACAACCGTCAAAATTTGTGGTTGTCCACTTATTAACATTTTGATACCTGAAATACCTGAAAGTATGCTGAAGTAGAATATTTCCATTCATTTGAATGGAGCAAGATTTTTCAGAATAAAACTAAATAGTCTAAAAATTATGAAGTTTAGAAAAATTCTGAACAGAAGCATGAAGGTCCTTGTGGAGCTGAATATTTTAATACCTGAAATATCCCTGAAAGTGTGATGTAGAATTTCCCCATTCATTTGAATAGGACAAAACTTTCAAAATAAAGTTAAATATTTCAGAAGTATGACGTTTAGAAAAATTCTGAATAGAAGCATGAATGTCCTTGAAGAGCTGAACATTTTCATACCTGATATAGCTGAAAATATGCTGAAGTAGAATTTTCCCATTCATTTGAATCAGGGAAAACTTTCAAAATAAAGCTAAATATTTCAAAGGTATAAGGTTTAGAAAAATCCTTAAGACAAGCAAGGATGTTCTTGAAGAGCTGAACATTTTGATACCTGAAA